AAACCAAATTCAGGTCCCTGCTCTCCCCTATTACCCTCCTACGCCCAGGAGCTTGAGAAATTAGCCAATTCTTACTGTTCAAATCTGCTTCATCCAGACTCTGAGGACAGTGAGGTTCATCCAGACGTTCCAGAACGTGCATGGTTTACTAATTGTTTTTCCTCATGACGTCCTTGCCGACGTAAGAAAACACCTTCATGTGTCAGGGGTGGGTTTGCAGTTCTGGTTGGAGGTTTCTTGTTAGCTAGCCCCACCCCTCCTCACTCAGGGTTGGGGGGCACACCTAGTCCCCGAGTCTCTTCTTCCATGACCCCTGTTTGAAGCGACCACAAGTCCTCTTGCCCTTGAAATGCATGGTGTCCGGACGCCGCTGTGAGGCTGCTTCCTCCCTCCCTCCCTCCCACCAGAGCTTGCTGCTGTCCCTGACTCCGGTCCTGCTGAGCCTCCAGGTCTCCGAGTCTGTGTCTTACGTATTTTAATAAGCTTGGCTTTTCACAGAGCATTTTGCCATTATCACCGCATATCTTGCTGTTTTCACTTAAACTTCAGAAAACATTTGAGCAGGCAAATTAAGCAGCTAAAGCCATGGGGTAGAAGAGCCAAAGAAGTAAAGGTCTTGGGGTTTTTCTGGTTTCTATCCTGTGGTTATTTCCGGAGCTGGGCTGGTGGGTAGACCAGCCATTGCCACCCTGATGTGTTTTGTGAATGGAGAGGTTGCTGTCTGGAACGACGTCTCAGCATCACTGCGCATCCTCAAGGACTCGGGACCTGTTCCGTCCGCAGGCCTGGGCCCACACTCCCAGAAAGATGCGAAAGGGACACAGTCCGTTCCGCAGGGAAACGTTCACTGTGCCGCCTGCCCAGTCCCTTGTCCACCCTTCCTCTCCTGTGCGGAGCGTTTCCCCTGATTTTTACAAAGAGTGAGGTTTACGGTTCCATGTTCTAAGGTGTCTCAAATTTAAACTGTTGGTAGCAGTCTTATAATTATTTTAAGTGGAAAACACACTTGATACTTTTACTTGTCATATATAAAACCACTTGAATACATTCTGCTCTCTGCGTTATATCTGTAAGAATCTGAGTTTTCAAATGCATTTAGTGGTTAACCTTAGTTTTATTTTCAGGCCAATTGCTTAGAATCTGGTTTGTCTGGAGTATTATGTATCTAAAGCCTCCAGTTAAGCATCTTGTGTCATAAGGTCACGGAGCTGCCGTGGGGAAGCCTCGCATTAGAACACCTCAGTTCGTGTCACCTCGGGTGCCTTTTCTGCGAGGGTTCTTCGTTTCTTGAAGTAATCGGTTACTCCCAAGCTTTGCCTTCTGTAACCTGACTCCCGCCGGAGCGCATAAAGGCCAGTAATTTTAGTAAAATTCCTTCCCACAGTGGCATTTAAAACCCCACCCTAAGGAGGCATTTGTTCCGTATCCCTCACCTACTTCCTTCACTAAGTGGGTTGCCAAATATGTTTAGCTTGGAACTCAAGAGCTGGGAAAAGTTAGCGAGTGGCGGGGGTTTCACGCCTGCCCGGGCCTGGGGCACCGGGGGCATCGCCGGGGCTGCCCACCCTTGAGGGAGGCGTAAGCTCCTTCCCGCCGAAGCTGCGGAGCGAGGACCGAGGGCGCCGCCTCTGCCAGGCAGAGTGCTCACGGGAAGTGTCGCCCACTGTGTCCCCGGCGTGCCCACCGCAGAAGGTTCCTGCACATCCCCCATTGTTCCAGTCCCCTTGGCCAGAGCACTGCCGTCAGCGGGCCGGGTTCTCAGCCGCTCTCTGCTCACACCTCCCGCCGCCGCACCTCGCGCCTCCGCCGCCCGCCGCCCGGGTCGCTGGAAGCGGATTGAATAGGATTGAATTCGGCTCTTGCGTGTCTTTGTTAAATTGCACTTTCCAGCCCCGCTGGCCCAGCTCAGTTTACCGCTGCTCCTTGCATCTCGGGAGCCTGGACGAGGCCTCCATGTCCTTTTTGCTGATATTAGTGTTTCTTAGGAAAACGATGACAGTGACTTGCTTATATCTATACAGCATACGGACTTTCAAAATCAGAGAACTTAGCACATTTTCTCCATCAGTAAGCCATGATTTTAAAGGAGTCAGCAAGACGACCTCATTGGCGGGATGGAGAAACCTAGGCACTGACAAGGACTGCGGCTTCCAAGGTAGAGCCTCAGGATGAAACCGTCTTAACCAGGAACCATCCACTGAAGAGTGACTTTCACATCCATTTTCTTACATTTATACATCTGACATTAACATGATAGTCTTGAAAGCACCAATGTATTTGCCTGTGCTTTGCCAGTAGAAAAGCGGTGGCAAAGCCAGCAAATTCCCCAAAAACAGTCATGAGTGGACGGCTCTGGCACCTGGTCCTTTCCCTAGCCTTACACTTAACACTGAGCTGCAGTGGGAGTCCGCTCTCAGTAAAGGGTCGGATACATTAGGGACCAAGTGCAGAACTCATCCTGTATTTTTGGACATTTTAGGAAAGGCCTATTAATTACTAAAAATCTTAACTATATAGTTCTTTTAATGAAAAAAATTTCCAACTGTTTTAACTAAAATACAAAATTTAAAAAGTATTTTGGTGAATCTCGTACTAACTTGTTTTTGAACAGGTTACTAAACCAAGCCCCCACTGTGGTCACCAGTTTGTATGTGGATAGGCTGACCTGCAGAGACTGTCTTGCACATGTATTTGTCGTCCAGGCTAAAGAAGTACTTTTGCCAGCCTGGACTGAGGTTAGCCAGTGACCATTTATTTCCCATTGAAATGGCATGTAGACGTTTGCTTTGTTTCTTAGCGTTTCAGATTCCATCCTGGCAAGGAAGTGGCAGGTCACCAATGCCTCTGTGAAATCGTGATTCATATACCCATTTCCAATGGGTGCCGCCACGGCTTCACTCCCTGGAAAAGGGCTGAAATACGACCCCACTGCCCAGAGCACCTGCCACTCACTCTGACCACAGAGCCACTGCTTTTGTTCACAAGGGGCTGTCATTTTCCTGAAATAATCATATACTACACACACTATTTGATCACTGAGGTGTTGATAATTTAGTAAACTGAACTCTGCACCAAGGCCGCAGTATAAATCTTACCTGGCTGTCCCAGCACTGACCTGAGGGTCCCTAAGTGGAAATTCAGGATGGTGCGTAGCTAGCACTTGGCTGAGCTGCCTGCTCAGGTGAAGCCGCAGCAGGAGAAGGCAGCTGCCCTGGCTGTGGTGAATGAGCCAGGACTGGGGGTTAGATTGACCATGAACCGGTGTTCCAGGGAGGACCGGCCTGGATTCTCTGATTAGACGGGATGGGAAGAGAGCGGCGGGTGAGACCGTGGACTCCAGAATGCTGCTGCGGCCTCCTCTCTGTGCTGTCTGCCTTGAGCTCAACCTCAGCTAGGCACTGGGGACCCTTAGGCCTCGGAAAACCCAGCGAGTCTGCCTGGGCCTCCTCAGAAACAGGCCTCTACAGGGCCCCAAGGGGGGCGAGCCAGAAAGATCTGGGCAGAAAGAGGGTGCCCCCAGGCCAGGCTGTCACCATGGACTTGTCACTTGTCTTGGGCTCGGTTTCCATGTCAGACAAAATAATGTAAGAATCCAGAGAGTCATCGTGAGAGTTAAGATGGAAGGTGCTATGGAAGTGGAAGGAGGGCTCCTGATGGTTCTATCAGAGGCGCCACATAAATGCTCTCCGATGTGCGCTGGTGAGAGTCCATGCGGCCCCTGCCCCCAGTGAGACAGGCCGCCTGTCAGAAAGGCTCTGGGATGGCCTGGGCCTGCGGGGTCTGGTCTGCCTTTGGGGACCACCTAGAAGTCAAATCCCCTTTCCTTAAGACCATTTGTCTTGGGTGACACTGTCCAGTGATGGCAGATGGCGCTATCTGTGTCCTAAAATGAGCCTAGAGAGACAGGGCTGCACCCACCCCCCGCCATCCCCCACAGCCCTACCCAGAAGCAGTCCTCCCGGGAATCTGAGCCTTCAGATCCCTTGAAAACTGACTCAGATGAATCAAATCCACAAAAGACTGGGGCATCCAGAATGACTGGAAATTAGTTTGAAAATAAAACAGGGTACTCATGTTTGCAGAATAGAGCTTTCTCTTCCTGTTGGCAGGTTTAGAGGAGCCAAATTACAGGGTGTTGAGTGGACGACAAGGAATCAGGGGAAGGATTGGTTAGATGATCTTAAGGACCATGGTCACCGGGGCCTAATGGCCTGGGGCACCCCCTCCACCCCCAGACTGGGCTGCCAGCTTCCTCCAGGGCCCACCCAGCTCCCTTTCCCACTTCCACAGCAGGCCAGCGCCTGAGTTCAGATGGACACAGTCCTTCCTTAGTCAGTACCTCTGTCAGACACCAGACGAAGCTCTGGTCGATTTCCTACTGATCTTTATTATTTAACCCGCAAAGGACAGTGTGATCTCCGAAGTCCTGGCCGGGGGTGGGAAAGGACCACAGGGCCCCGATTACCCTGAGCATCACTCAGCTGGCTTTGATTATAAATAGGCATATAACATCTCATAGATGCTATTGTTTTGTTTTTAACTCTTCTCTTTTTACAGTTGGAACTTCTATTTTGAGATAACTGTATATTCACATGCAATTGTTAGAAATAATACAGAACAATCCTATGTACCCTGTACCCAGTTCCATCCAATAGTAACAGCTTGCAAAACTATAGTGTAACACCACAACCTGGACGTTAACATGGTACATTCAGGACCGTGAGCATCTCATTGAACCCCTTCCCAGCTGTGGCCATGGGTGTGTTCAGCAGGTACCCCACTTCCTAAAGAGGTGGGCTGGCATTCTGCAGTGCTTCTCATGAAGAGATGTGAGCAGAGGGCAGCCTGCTCCTGAGACCCTTGGAAATACAGACCCATTCATAGCTGTGGTTGGGCTAAGGCCTTTGCATTTCGTGGCAGGTGCCTGCTGGGGGACTCACCCCTCTGGGAGCTTGTGGCAAGGTGTCCAGAGTATTCACCCCATGTCTCCTTTGAAACAGGAGGACCATGACACCATGGAAGCTGATCTGGACAAAGATGAGCTGATCCAGCCCCAGCTTGGAGAACTCTCAGGCGAGAAACTTCTGACCACGGAGTACTTGGGAGTAAGTACCACATGAAGGGTTTGGCGGTCCTGAAATAGAGAGGAGAGATGTACCATTGATGAATTGAGTGTTTGCCATAACACATGAGGGTTTGGTCTGGTCTCTTATGATACTGTGTTTATGAGAAGTCCCATGTTAGCCAGCTTGCTTCCAGTGGCCCTGAAGTGCATGGTGGCCCTAGCTGCCTGTCTCAAGGAGACCTGAGGATGAACAGAAGAGGGATTAGAATATAACTAAAGGGCACACCCCAGAGACCTTCATAATACCTGGAGGTCTGCCCATCCTTAGTAGTAAGCACCTACTTGTCCAGCTTCTTAATTTTTGTGCACCTTATGTGTTAGAAGGGATGTCTGAGTAGAAGAAAACAGCAGTATTAAGTGATTGCAGTTAAAATATCCTTCACCCAGCTGGGCATGGTTCAGCGGTTGAGCATCGACCTAGGATCCAGGAGATCAGGGTTTGATTCCCGGTCAGGGCACATGCCTGGGTTGCAGGCTCTATCCCCAGTCAGAGGCATGCAGGAGGCAGCCGATCAATGATGACTCATCATTGATGTGCTCTCTCCCTCTCCCCTCCTCTCTCTGAAATCAATAAAGATATATTTTTTAAAATAATAAATAATAAAATATCCTTCTGCAAATTTGACAAAAACATATGACCATACAAAAGCACATTGTTAGGGCCCCCTCTGGATCCTAGAAGCTTTAGTTCCATCAGCTCTGTGGTAGTTCTGTCCCCAAGCATCAGCCCTGCATCCACATGCTTGAGTCTCTTGGTCATGAGATGCTGGGTGCAGCTCCTGGCACAAATTCATGATAAAGTTGGGGAGAAGGTCAAACATGTAGGCCAGCCAAATCTACCTTCTACAGTGCCTTTCCCGAAGCTCCATCTGGTGACCTCCACATAATTTTTACTGGTCAGAACTGGGCCGCATGGCTCCCCTTCAAGGGAGTCTGAGAAGGTGAGTATTTTTAAGTAGACACATTTTGTGCCCAAAAAAATCAGTACTGTTGGTCAACAGAGAATGAATATTGGGTAGACAGCTAGCAGTGTCTGCTTCAGCTTCCAGATTATTTTCTGTGTGGATGGATGGATGATGGATGGATGGATAGATGATGATAGATAGATGATGATAGATAGATGATAGATAGATAGATGATGATAGATAGATAGATAGATGATAGATAGATAGATGATAGATAAATTAGGTACCTGTAATTTCTTACAAGAATTCATACTGCTATATAATAAATATGTCATATTTCTTTAAGTGATTCATCCATACTCAAAAACACATCAATTGTTTGCCTCCCACATGTGCCCCAACTGGGGCCAGGGATCAAACCTGCAACCCAGGTATGTGCCCTTGACCGAGAATCGAACCCGCAGCCCTTCGGTGCGCAGGCCGACACCCCAACCCCTTAGCCACACCGGCCAGGGCAGAAATGTTAATTTTTCACGAAACCAAAATGTGTCCATCTTTTTCCCCTTCTTACTTTCAAAAGTCGGTCTTCTCCAGAGATGTGATGTTACTGTATCAACTGTTTTTGTCTCCTTTTTTCCATGTTTGATTTTTTAAAATTTGTACTGCTAAATGGTGTAATATGCAAACCTATGGGGGAAATTTGAATAATCTGTGGCACTATCCATCCTCATGTATCTGCAAAGCCTCGTATTGCTATAGATTGTTTATTAAACATAGTAAGTTGTGCCTCTAGGCCAGCTCTCAGTATGCCTCCTCCAGCCCGCTCCTCTTCCTTCCGCCAGATCATGACCAACACGGGGAAGACGAGGCGGAAGGGGCCGGCCGGCGTGGAGCGGGGCGGCCACGAGCCCCTGCGCAGGCCCGTCACTCCCGGAGGCCACAGGAACGGGTACCCGGTGTAAGTTCGGGCTAAAGAGATCTATTTTCTTAAGCTCTGTTTTAATTAACTGCAATGTCAGGTATATGTATATAAAATTTCAAAATAAAATGTTCCTATTGAAAGCATTTATCCCTTTATTGTTTATCTTCTGGGGATTTTTTAAGGAGGTTGAGTGTCCCCACCCCCCAGGCCTCTTCTTCCCAGAAGTGAAGTGGTTGGATTTCAGCATCTCCAGGCCTCTTCCCGCCTTTCTGCAGGCGGAGCTGATGTGGGCCAGTGTGATTTCAAAGGAAAGGACCGGAGGAACAGTAGGTCTCCAGGAAGGACATTCGTTGTTTCTTTGCCGCAGCCTCTCACTGTAGCACGGGGCTCTTTGTTGAGATGCAGTGTCACAGGATAAGACACCGAATCAACTTATATTTAGATGACTTTTTAAAGCAACTATAAGCATTTTTAGCCTCCAAGCTTTATTCATTCTTTGTAGCCTTTCTTTTACATAAACAGCACTTTAGTCTGGTTACCCAGAGCCTCTGGTCTCCCTGGTGAACCAAGGGCCTAGACAGACCCCGGTGGGGTCTGGGGGAGCCCCAGGCTGGGCAGTCCAGTGTGGGCAAGAGAGAAGCATTGCCTGTGGTCTGGGCAGCCTCTTTTCCTGTCTAGAGAGAATGCTAGCGAGAAACAGGCACAAACAGTGGATTAGAGAGAGCAGGCAAAGAAAACCCTACATCTATTCATCAACACATAAGGGCCATAAAATATTTCAAGTGAATATGCCGTATTTTACTTAGAAATCCCCTATAGCTATGCAATATAGCTCTTTCCAGTTTTACTCCATAGTAATTTTTTAAAAATATATCTTTATTGATTTCAGGGTTGGGGGGGGAGAGAAACATCAATGACGAGTCATTGATCGACTGCCTCCTGCAGGACCCCTACTGGGGATCGAGCCTGCAACCCTGGCATGTGCCCAGAATCGAACCTCGATCTCCTGGATCATAGGTCCATGCTCAACCATGAGCCACGCCAGCTGGGCTACTCCATAGGAATTTGTAATGATGCTGGAGCTATGGCAACGAACAAAACACAGAAAGTGCCTGCTCTCGTGGAGCTCCCTGCACAGATGCTGGGGACGCCGGAGCCCCCAGCACTGGATCTTGCCGAGTTCTGTTGCCTGTCTGGGACCTGACCTATAATATCAAGGCCCATGCCATGGATCAGTACTCTGAGATCTGTTTGATTTTATTTCAAAACTAATCCTCATGTGCTTCATATTTCAGGGTTTTTATTTTTAATTAGTAATATACAAACATCATGCCTTTTTCTCTTAAACCTAAACCAATATTTTTTAGCCTATAGAAGAGTTGAAAGAATATTGCAGTGAAGAGCTTCCAGCTGTTAACATTTTGCCAGCTTTGCACACTCTTGCTCTCCTTCTATGTGCATAATATACATGTATATAATGTTTTACTGAACTGTTTGAAAAAAGGTTACAGACTTTCAACACACATCTCCTAAGAATTAGAACATCCTGTACTTAACCATATTACCACACCTAAGAAAGGTAATATCAATTTAATAATATTATATAGTATACCAAGATTCCCTAATTGTCCACAAAATGTCATTTATATCTGAGGGGGTTTTGTGATCCAGAATATAGCCAAGTGTCAACTACTGGTAAATCCAGTATATAAACATCATATCTTTTTCCTTCCATCCCATGTAATACATTTTTGAATGGAGGAAGTAACAGGAAGTAATAAAATACATTTTGTTTGACATGGGAAAGAGGACATGGAATCGTCATTTTTAAAAATTAGATTCGATAGGCTGGTCAGCATGGATTGCGGTTGAGCATCGGCCTAGGATCCAGGAGATCGCTGTTCGATTCCTGGTCAGGGCACATGCTCAGATCGTGGGCTTAACCCCCAGTAGGGGACGTGCAGGAGGCAGCCAATCAGTGACTTTCATCATTGATGTTTCTGTCTTTCTCTCCCTCTATTCCTCTCTCTAAATCAATAAAGGTACATTTTTAATTAAATTCTATATAGTTCCCTAATTTTTCATGATAAACACATCATAGCAAGCACGTGCCCACCTGTCCTAGGAGTGGGCCCTACGAAATGGTGGTTAACCCTCCCCTGACGGTATTTTCTCCATCTAGGCAGAGTCCTGTGTCTGCTTGACTCCCTTTGCAGTGGCCAGCATGACATGTCATGTCTTTTCTGATTGGATGCATCCCTTGGCTTATCTGCTTCATTCTTGGAGGAAAAAACCCCAGAAAATTTATGCCTTAAATTGGTTGAAATGTCATGCCCCATGTCACTCAAAGCCAAAAGATAGAACAGTGTCTTAGAAAGATACTAAGCCTCGAATCACTAAATTTTTGAGAGTTAACATGAGCAAGGTAAGAGCACTTCCTAGTTCCTGCCAATACCCTTAAAAGGGTTTAATATCTAGTAGCAGTTGAACAAAAGAATTTCAGGCACTTCCACTCTCTGTATTTGTTTGCGATGCTACAAGTGGTCAGCAGTCAGCTTCCTCCTGGCTCTCTGGCTGATTGCTCCTTTTCATTTTACCCTCCAGGCTGGAAGACCATCCCGTCTCCCCCCAGACGTCCCGGCGAGCCAGAAACGGCTGCCTCCCGTCCCCCCCGAGAGCCCACCTTCCAGTGTGCAAGGCAGGCGAGCCCGGTGCTTCGGAGCCTCGCGTGTCGACTTCGTGCAATAGCCCGGGCAGCGTGCGGGGGCAGCCGGGGGCTGCTGACTTCTAAAAAGTATTTTTCAGATGCCAAAAAAAATACATATGGGTTGCATCAGAAGCGTACAAAGTATTTTCTTTAATTTTCAAGAGGAAATTAAAAGGATGTGAGCCAGATAAGACCCTAATCTCCATTCAGACGGGAAAAACAGCAGAGGAGCCGGTCAGACTCCGGCATGAGAGACACCTGAGAGCGGTTCCCTCTGCTCGCAGCTGGGGCCAGACGCTCCCAAGGCCGCGTTCGGAGCAGCGGGCCAGCCAGCCCCAGGGCTCGGAGAAAGAAGGCTGCTGGGGACTCGGGGAGGGTCTCCTGTGTGAGCAGTTTGAGAGGCTCCGCCAGCTTTGGTCATCTTTACATGTTTTATTAGAGCTGCAAACACTAATACACCTTCACTAAAAGGTAATTGGTTCAATTTATCAAAGGTTTCTGCTGCCAGGGCGGAGATTTTAGGTGGTCTAACAGTTTTTGCCAATTTAACCTAGTGCCATTGAGTTTAAAATGGTTTCAAGTTCCATAGGCCGGAACCTCCAAAAAGTTGCCTTTGGGGTAACTTATTTATCAGTTACATCCTGCTTTTATCAGAATGACCAGCAGGGTGGCCCTCTGTCTCGCACTGGCTGTGAGCGTGGCCCTGGCTCTGTCATGCTGTTGCCTGCCAGGTGGCAGCATCGGAGGTCGTCGTGGACAGAGGGCTGAGTGACAGCTGATGTTGGCGATGTGGGCATTATTGTTATTTTCAAGACCAGTTGGAGGCCCTGGCAAATTCTGACTCCTCAGATGAAGACAGTGGGCATCCACCAGGGACTCAGCTTGGCGATCACCAGCAGGCGCCAGGCCTCTGCCTGCGGAGGCAGCCGCTGCTCACCAGCCCCTCCAGATGGGCGACCTGGGGCCAGAGCAGCTGTGTGTCCCAAGCCCTGCTGCAGGCGCACCTGTTGGCCTGCTCTGACCGGAGACCACAGTCCACGTGTCCCATCCTCTGTCTGCTCCTGTTTTCTCAGGACTCCCCGTCTGCCCAACTCCCTTCCCGCCTCGGCGGACTCAGGAACACTGACCCCTTTGCCCTCCACCTGCCAGAGACCAGTCATAGCAACCTCTGCCCACCCGCCCTGCCAGGCTGCCCCCAGCCTCGGGCGAGCACCTTTACTTCCCCTTTAAAATCCTTTTACTTGCCCTGGCCAGCTTGGCTCAGTGGTTGGAACATCAGCCCACAGACTGAAAAGTCCCGGGTTCGATTCTGGCCGACGGCACATACCTCTGTTGCAGGCTCAGCCCCAGTTGGGACACAGCCAACCGAAGTGTCTCTCACGTCGATGTTTCTCTCTCTCCCTTTCATACTCTGAATAGCAACAGAAAGAATATCCTCAGGTGAAGACTTTAAAAAATCCTTTTAACACAAGTTCTTCCCTGGGAGAATCCAAACCTCGGGTTAATGGTTTCCCTAGATCCCCTCCGCTTCTGGTCTACAGTCTGTCCTTCTACCTCTCTCAGGCTTGTGCAGGCTCAGCCGCCCCAGGACCAATGTCCCTGCCCCAGCTGGCCTCGCTGCCGCCATCTCTTCCTCCTGTCACCCAGCCTCTACGTGAGGAAAGGTGGCCGACAGGCTTCGGCTTCCGTGCTTGGGATGCTGTGCGGAGACTGCGGGCTGTGGCCAGGCTCAGCGATGCAAGCGCCCTGCCGGTGGGCAAGGAGAGGGAGGGCGGCGGGCTAGGCGGCGTCCCGATCCCACTGCCTTCCGCGTCGTCCCTTCCCTGCCCGGAGCCTCACCTGGCTTCCCCCGACCCTTCCCGCGCGCAGTCCTGCTTCTCCAGCTCTTTCTTCCACCTCTGTTCTTGCTCACCTTGTGCCCGTCCCATCCCGGCTTCGCCCAGCCGCTCCCACAGGTCCCCTGGCACACACGGCTCTCTGCTGAGCCTGGCCTCCTGGCCTCACCCCAGATCCGGCCTCCAGCATGACCTGCGGTCGTGCGCTCTGGAAGCCGCCTCCACGCCTGTGTGTCAGTCAGCACTAAGGTGGAACTGACAGGAACCTGCGGGACCCTCACTGCGTGATCAGCAGTGTAAGGCCAGAAAGTGGTGGTTTTTAATCTTCACCCAAGGATATTTTTTCTAAGTTGCTTTTCAGAGAGAGGGAAAGGGAGAGAGAGAAACATCAATTGGTTGCCTCCCGCACACGCCCCGACCGGGGCGGGAATCAAGCCTGCAACCCAGGTACATGCCCTTGACCGTAATTGAACCCGGGATCCTTTAGTCTGTAGTCTTACTGCTCTAACCACTGAGAAACCGGCCAGGGCGAGAAAGTGAATTCTTTTTCAGCAAAGGGCTGGGCCCCACAGTGCCAGAAGGAAATGTTCCCAAGAGGAAA